ATTTTATAAAAAAAGAAAGAAAGAAAGAAAGAAAGAAAGAAAGAAAGAAAATAAGAAAGTGAGCCAGCCCCAATGACTAGTGGTCAAAGGAACCAGATCCCGCATGGCTGACTGTTGTTCATTTCCTGGCCATGACAGCTTGAAAAACACACTGGGCACATGTGTGTACATGCCCCACATCCTGATAGAAAGCAAAAATAGAGAAGGGATTGTGCTGACCATGTCCCACTGCGGGGAGAGGGGACTGCTTTTCCTTCTCTCTCTCTCTCTCTGACAAGTGCACATACTTTCTGACAGTTAAAAAAATAATAATAATAAAAAAGCAAATAGCCCATTAAAAATGAACAGGCCTGGCTGCTGTGGTGCAGTGCTAACACGGTGCCCTGGAAGGCTGGAAGCCATGTAACCAAACGTGGGTTGGGATCCCCGGGTCAGCCTGCTGTATGGATGCACAGCATCCTTAGCGCTGAAGGGCTGAGTAAGGGATCATGGCATGATGAGAAGCTGAGAGTGCTTCTCTCTCTCTCACGCGTGTGCACATGCTATTGCTTAAAAAAAAATCACAATACAAATTTTAAGAAAAAAGTTCATTAATTTTATTACTATAATTTTTTTATTCACCAGAAAGAGAGAGGGAAACTGAGAAAGCAAAGTCACCTGATGGCCCCCTTGGTGGTGTGGTGGTGAAGGTGTTAGACTCCCCATATGGCCAACTGTGGTACAAGTCCTGGATCTGGTGGCTTGGAAATCACTCCAGCGTGTGTATGTGGGTGCCCAGGAGAGCAAAGAAGAGGAGAAGGGACTGCAGTGTGGCCATTCCCTCCCACCTCCCAGGGATTTCTAACTTTCCCTCTCACTGTCTCTCTGGTGAGTACACAAGCCCCACAGCGAAAATCTAAAAAAAAAAAAAAAAATAGTTTAAAGACATTCTTCACAAAGAAGGCCAATAAGCACATGAAAGGAAGCACAATGCCATTAGTCACTAGGGAAATGCAAATCAAAACCACAATGGCATGCCACTTCAAACTCACTAGGATGGCTAAAATTTAAAAAAGGGAAAAAAATACAAGAGTTAGCAAGATTATGGAAAAACTGTCATCGTTAAGTATTGCTGATGATATTGTATAATAAAATAATGTAGCTACCTGAGAACAGCTTGGTAGTTCTCCAAAAAGTTAAATATAGGGGACCAGCAGTTAGTGTAATGGCTATGTCGCTGGACTCCCACGTAGTCGACTGTGGTTTGCGTCCGGGACCTGGTGGCTTAAAACTCACGCCGGGCGCATGTGTGTGCGTGCCCAAGATCCCGAGAGGAGAATGGAGGAGAAGGGATTGCGGTGTGGCCACCCCCCCTGGGGAGTGATTTCTTGCTTTCTGTTCGCTTTCTGTTTCTATGTCAGTCTGGCGAGCGCATGCACCCTATCGTGAAAAATCTCTCCAAAAAAAAAAAAAAAACCTTCCAAGAAAAATAATGAACTTTGAAAAAAGTCTATAAAACATGTTGCCTTTTGAAAGGTGAAGTAAGAATATATATTTGTTTGGGAGCCAGCTTGGGGCATGCTGGTTCGCCCTATAGTAAAAACCTCTCAAAAAAACCCCCCCAAAAAGTAAGAAAGAATCAAAGAGTTTTTTGTTTTTTTTTAAGAGGTTTTTGCTACAGGGTAAGTACATTGGCCAGAAAGATGGAGAGGCAGAAAGTAAGAAATCACCCAAGGGGGATGGCCACACAGCAATCCCTTCTCCTCTCAGGATCTTGGGCATGCATGCACACGTGCCCAGCATGAGTTTAAGCCACTGGGTCCGGGACTCGAGCCACAGTTGACTACATGGGAGTCCAGAGACATAGCCATTATGCCATCTGCTTGTCCCAGGAATCAAAGAGTTTTTGCCAGGGGATGTTCAATTGTCTGCAACTTGTATACTAGCCTAGATGAGACACTTAGAGAGGTATTTAAGCTTTCTTCCTGGATCAGACAGAACCTGCACTTAGCTCCTTGGGAACAAACGTGTTTACCATGTCCTGTTCCTGCGTGCCCCACGCTTGCACTGAGGACGCCATGGGGCATGCATGTCAGAGACAAGGAGGACTGTTTACTTCAGCACCAAAAGCCGAGCCATCAAAAAGATGATCAGGGAACCAGCAGTTAGCGTAATGGCTATGTCGCTGGATTCCCATGTAGTCGACCGCGGTTCGTGTCCCGGACCGGGTGGCTTAAAAAACACACGCCGGGTGTGTGTGTGTGTGGCCAAGTGTGTGTGTGTGTGTGCCCAATAACCCAAGAGAATAATGGAGGAGAAGGCATTGTGGTATGGGGTGATTTTTCTCATTGCCTCTCTGTCTCTGTTTTGCCAGTGAGCGCACATGTCCTATAGCAAAAAAACCTCTCTCTAAAAAACTAAAATGATCAGACCTGGGAACCAGCAGTTAGCGTAATGGCTATGTCGCTGGACTTCCACGTAGTCGACCGCGGTTTGCGTCCCGGACCTAGTGGCTTAGAACTCAGGCCGGGCGCGTGTGCGTGTGTGCCCAAGATCCTGAGAGGAGAATGGAGGAAAAGGGATTGCGGCGTGGCCATTCCCCCTGGGGGGTGATTTCTCGCTTTCTGTCTCTCTGTCTCTCTCTGTCTGTCTGGCGAGCGTACGCGCCCTATAGCAAAAACCTCTCAAAAAAAAAAAAAAGTAAAAAAAGATGATCAGACCTCAATGACAGAAAATTCCACTTTCTGTGCATATGGCTTCATTATTAATATGCCATTTAAATCATGTAAGATAATTTGGCTTTTTACTACGCTGGCTATACTGTCAGGTCAGGAAAATAAGAAACACATTTTGAGTTCAACCTTAACCCAGAGGCCCAAACATAGCTATGTGTCTAAATACTATGTATGTACTTGCCCTGCAGTTTACCTAATAGTTCTTTGTTTTTGCTGATGTCAAGTTTTTTAGAATGCAAAATTTACTTTTCTATTTTAATGTATGGATTTTATTAAGCCTCTTCAAAGTCAATGCAAATAATAATAAAATTATGAAAAAGAGTTAAAAAACAAACTGTCAGCTAGAGAAAGGGCCAGCTAGGTGCAGCTGAAACCATTGGGAAGGTCCAGTAACTAGGAGTTAGTTTTTCACTTTACATCTGGAGGCCTCCATGTGTGGCTGCATAGCCAGCAGTCCAGAATGGCTGAGACTCAAGGTGGAACGCAGTGTGGCAATACTGTTGGGGATGCCTTTAATTTTTAAAGAAAAAATTATCTTAAAAAAAAGAGAGAATAGGCTTATGAATGGCTGGTAATGTTCTTGTTTTTTAGCAGAGTGTGGTTCACAGGTGTGTTTTAAGTTTGCAAAAATGTATTGCGTTTAAATATACTAGTGGCAGGGACCAGCAGTTAGTGTAATGGCTATGTCGCTGGACTCCCACGTAGTCGACCGCGGTTCTCATCCCAGACCCGGTGGCTTAAACTCACGCCGGACGCGTGTGTGTGCGTGCCCAAGATCCCGAGAGGAGAACGGAGAAGGGACTGCGGCGTGGCCATCCCCCCTGGGGGGGTGATTCTCGCTTTCTGTCTCTCTGTCTCTCTCTGTCTGTCTAGCGAGCGCACGAGCCTATAGCAAAAACCTCTTAAAAAAAAAAATACCAGTGGCGAATATAAACAAAACCAGAAATAGGTGGAGGCTTACCAAGATTCATTTCCGGTCTAGATTCACCCTTGGGGCATTTGTAACTTAAGGTCAATGGTCAACTCAAGACCCCAGCTTTTGGGGTCCATCCTGATCCCTCCTCCAGTCACAGCCAAAGAAGGACCTGTAGAGCCTGGGTCCCTCCGCACTCGGCCTCCGCACTTCTGCTCGGCTGCAGGGCCCTTTCTCATCTCCCTCGGTGGAAACCCAGCCTCTCTGGGTCCCAACCCCAAAATCATGCGTTCCTTACGGACATACCTCGAGCCCCTGCTGAAGGCCTCGCTTCCTAACCCACCCAGTCCACGTCTACCTCTGTCTCCTCGGCACTGAGCCTCAGAGGGACGAGTCCTGCATGAATGAACTACCGGTTCTGGGGTGGGCCGGGGAACTTGGATTCCAGGAAGGGCCGTCGACCCGCGGGCTCCGCGGGAGCGCACAGGCTGGACGGTCCAGCCTGCTCCCTCTCTCACCACTGCCGCAGTACAAAGCGCAGGAGTAGGGAGACCCAGCGGCGCGCGTAGGAAAGCCGCCGGGCGGCCGGGAAAACTGCTGAGGGCTAGGTTCGCCGGAAACTGGGCGGAAAGGACCAGCCACCGGAAGTCACTTTTGGCGTCTAGTTAGACGCTCTAGAATCCGGGAGGACCGCGCTCTCTGTGCTTGGACGTGACGGCTCACCCTCTATCGGGGAGGATACATTCACGGGACTCCCGGGACGGATGAAATGGAGCACAATCCCGTGAGCGATAGGGACTGATAAAGGAAGTGGAAGTGGAGCAAAAACGAGGGCGATTTCGGAAGCTCGCGGGACTGGTTGTGATTGGCCAGAAGAGTTGGGAGCGGGCGCCTGGGGGCGCGCGCGCGCGCCCGCGCCCGGGCGTTGCCTTCCATTCACCCAGCGCCCACGGCCGCCAGCGCGCATGCGTTGGAGGACGGCGCCGGTCCCGGAGAGCACCCGTGAGAAGCGCAGAGCACCCTTTGGGCGGCTCCCGCCGGCGAGCTGGACAGCGGCGCGCGCGCGCGCGCTAGGGTGGAGGCGTGGCTTTCTCATTCGGTGGGCCCCGATTGGACGCACAGGTAGAAGGGGTGGGAACCTCCGCAGAGGCCGCTC